TATTAAAGTTAGTCTTTAACCCTTTTCCCTATTTCCTTGATGGACCCTGGATCATTCTGGATTTGCTACTTCTGTTTACATTCACTAGATCAACTTCCTCTTACTATCTGCTCCAGACTGCATTAAAATTTCATTCCCATCCCTTTTTCCCCCACCCCTCCTCCCACCCCGAGGCAAATAAATCATTTAGGCCTGAAGCAATATTAAAGTTCCCCTGTCACTCGCTTTTATTCTTATTTATCAATGCCCTATTCCCTCCTGGACCTGTTTGTTTGCCCGGCATGTATTTAAGGAGTGTATTATTTATCTACACTTCTTTTTCAGATATTATCTCAGTTTCTACACTCCATTTCTTTGCTACATTCTTACACCAATTTGAGTTTTGTCTTTATACTAGGTCATCCTCTTCTTTATGGCGATTCCAGATATTGGAAGAAGGCCTGACTACTGAGCTCCGAGAAAAGCACAAATGGGACAGAGCCTTTTACTAAGAGAAGCTGAGGTTGTAAGCATGGGTCTTCCCATTAACTTCAGTGGGCTTCAGATACTGCCTTTGAGTTCCAGAATTTTTGCTGAAGTCCTCCTTTGTTCAGACATGCTCCTGTTCTTGGGCAGCAGCTGTTCATTATTTCTGATGTATTCTGCCATGGACTCCCCAAGATTTGGTTCTTTAAATAGCATCTATTCCCCTTCTTCCTCATCAACTGCTTTAGGAAGAATGGAGAAGTGCTTCTCTCTCCCTCTCTTTGATTGCCCTGGTTTCCATACCCCATTCCACTAATTTGACATTTTTTTTGCCACCTGTCAAAAACAGGAAATTGGATTTGACCTAGATTACGATCTCTAAAAATAATTATTGGTACTGAGCACTCCCATCTCTTCGTAATCTGAGTATTCATTATCGTGTTGATTAATTCTGATGACAGGATGGCATAGGATACCCATGAGAGATGAGATTTCCTCACTTAACTAATTCCCATGTTAAGTTTGAATACCTTCAGATAGAAAAATGCACAGTGCTCACTGTACAACCATCAAACAGTTTTGTTTTTTAGTGAAGGATTCTTTCAGCAAAGTGATTTTATTTCCTTGTATAACATAAATCAAGTTCTGCATTTAAATGTGAAATGAAAACAACTTGTGAATAAACCTATTTTCCTTAAGCCCCTGGATTAATCAACTACAAAACCAGAGTAACACATTTGAAATACAATTTAAAATATATAAACAAGGAGATTCACTGGGTTTACTTCAGTTCGGGATTTTTGTCTACAAATGGATGATATCTCAGCTTCACTGAAGACGTGATATTTTAACCTTTAGTCATAGGCAGTATAAACTATTCATGTAAAATCAGTAGCCACATAAAACAAATATAGCCAAATAAACAACTAAAAATGCCAGAAAATAATCTGATTAAAGTGCTTGTGATACTAACACATACACGAGAAGTGCAGAACCATGAACTTGGGTCCTGGAAGACAAGTGAAGAAGGAAATGGCTTTCAAAGAGTTAATATTGCAATATAATTGTCATTTTAAAATCAATATGTTCTGTAACTGATTTGGTATTTTTAAAAGTTATTTAAAACTTATAGGGGCTTTCTAGGTTACCTTAAAATATTCTATAAATATCATCTCCTTAGAAAGGCTATTTGCATTAGGTTCGAGTTATTGATTATTCCATTATTGTAAGGAAACAAATGGGATTTCCTTGTCATTTCAAACTTAATTCTCCTCACTCTCCTTTTTTCTAGTAAAACAAATTTCTAATACATGTAAATCTTCCTGCTGTTTCCAGTGATTCACCTGTTTTGCTTTGCCCTTACACAGTGCTTCTGGAAGCAATGAATTTCAGACAAAAGCCACTGGGCAATATTCTGCTATCACTGAGGTCTTGGACACACAATTCCTTAATGCCAGTGTAATATACATTAGTGTTGTGTGCTAATGTAAGTTACGTTGATGTCTGGAGTGGACAAAAGACTACTTTCCCAGGATAGCTGCTAAAGTAGGTGTCATTATCCTGCCTCACTAATAGGTCGTAAGATCCTGTAATACCCTGTTTGCATTCACTCAAAGGCTACTTCAAGACAGAGTCAAACATCCAATGCCTACACGCTATAAATTATACCAGTAGTTTTACCTCTGATGCCAGATCTAGAACGTTACTCTGGTGTAGGGCAATCCATTGTATGTCTGATCTTTACATCAGTGTAAACATGCCATATCTCCAGGCCTTTAGATCAATGTGTATTCCAGCGTAAACCCATGGGATTACTTTACATTTACAATGGCATAATAAAAAACATGATTTGGCCTGCTGTTTTTACCTATGCCCATTCAGCACACTAGAAGAGAGGTAGCACACCAGTATCATTATCAAGGGCTTCTCATTGTACAGTTATGGTGTCAGGATAGAAATTTCCTCTGAATTTTTTGGGTGCAGCTTATCCATTACTCCAGCATTTCTGCCTTGATTTTCCTATTGCCAAATTTGAAATGAAACCCTGGATTCCTCTGCCCACTGACAAACTTCCATTTAAGCTTGTCATTTGAGCTCCCATTTGAACTGCCAATTGGCAGTTTCTAGAGCTCTCCAAACACCAGCCTGCAGCTGGATTAGATTTAAAGCAGGGTACCAGCTTGATCAAGCAGAATGGAAAAGGTGGTATTTTAGGCTAAAAGAAATCAGACGCAATTTGTCTGTAGTTGAGCTTCTACCTTAGAACTATTTATCTTAGTTCTTTCACTTGTCATGGACAACATATTCTACATTTCTGAGGATCCAATGGTTGGCAAGGTTTATGCCTTTCGTTTTACACTCTATCTTTGCTGCTTCGTGCCAAAGATTCCAGATGGTCTCTTTACCATTGTGCATTGCATTTATTCTGCTAGTGGAGCCCAGAGTTGCGTGATTCCATATGAATGCCATTACTAGCCGTCAAATTAGGAGACCTGCAGCTACTCCTTGCCCTTTATATCCAGAACAGCGACTTAGTAAATGAGAGTATAATTATCATGATATTTACATCACATCCCATTATGAAGCCCATCAACCAGATTTGCACATCCATAGTGCAACTGCTTATTGGAAATTGTCCTTCGTAATTGCTAAAATAGACCTCATTATCTTATACCAGAAGGTGATGGTTATGGCACAAAAGTCTCAATATACACATCCAGCACATATTATTCACATAAAGCCAAATCCTCAGGTAATATATATCAGTATAGCTCCATTGAACTCAAAAGAATGCCAGCTTATGGGAACTTCAGACTAACGCATTGCTCAGATGTAGTACCATGCAAAGTGAGCATGGTGTGTGTGAGGGTTCAGCCAGGCCTGCAGTAGGCCACAAGGAGCAACCTGGAGGTCAGCAGGGCGAGGGTACAGGTTACCAGAGCCAAGAGGGGAGTTGAAAGAGATGTAGTCTGAGATGTAAGACAAGGTCAGGTGCCAGTAGTCTGACAACCAATGCCAAGTCCCAAGGAAGATCTGAGGTCAGGGTCAAGGAAGCCAAGCTGCTGGGGACACTGGAGAGAGCAGGGTCCCTGCTGAGGTTCAGGAAAATCCAAGATCAGGGTCAGAGAAAGCTAAAGCTGAGTGAGGAGCCAGGAGAACCAGAGAACAGCGCATGTGAGTCTTGCCACAGACTGAGGTTGCGTGAAGAAGTATGCTTGAAGCCTAAGGCTGCAGGTGTGTTTATAAGGGGTGAGCGGCGCTGTCAGCAGCCAGTCCAGTTGCAGGGAACTAGGGCAGTCCAATTAGCCAGGGATTAGGGGCAGGTATAACTACTCAGGTGCTTGACCTAGCTGGGCATACCCCATCAGTGGCCCTGACAGTATGGCAGTCTTATATATGATCTACATTTGGACAAGTTTAGTGTATCTTTGGACAACTCAGGTCTTCTTTCATCAATGACTCTGAGCCTCTCAGACTCACTTCTTGTCTGCTATGGGCTCTTCTAGGCCCCAGTTCTTCAACTCACCAGGTATTTTCCATCTCTCCCTCTGTCTGTTCTGTTCCTTCCCCCTCCCCATGCCTGGTCTCTTACTGCATGCATCTACTCATTAAAAAATGTGCTCTAACAAAGAGAGACAAGCAGGTTTTGGCAAATAACATTTTATGGGTCTGTGTGCTGCTTCCTGCTAATGTGAAGTTTGCTTTGTGTAGATATAAACAAATGGAAACAGCTTTCCTGTACCCTAACGTATATAATTCTTGCAAGAGTGAGGCAGCATAAAAGGAACTTGCAGGGAGGGGAAAAAGGGGGAGGAGAAGGGTTACATACATGTGGAAGGTGAGATTTATAATTCTGCAGAGACTAAGAATAAAAATATAAATGCATTTTCATTCCAATGTGCCTTTATTGCTTTGATTTAAAGCTAGAGCAGGCTGAAGTGACCTTAAATCATCCTGGGTTTATACTATTAAAAAGTCACACGTGGGACATTCATCTTAGTGCATTTTAGTATCTCTGCAAATAGACATCCATTGGGGATCCTCAGCTTCAAGAGAGCCTGAGATCAGGATGATATTGACTAGAAATGCTCCTTTAAACTACAAGATAGTCAGAATATCTGAACACTGTAAGAGAAAACAATTTGCTAAATTCCCATTTCTTCCTCTAGTCTTTGCACTTGATGGCTAACTGCTTTGTTTAGTGTCACAGTGCTCTATCTCCAGGTGGGAGGGTGGCGTCTTCTTGAGCCAATATCCCTGCTGCCTACAGATCAGACAGCAGGAGCTGTTCTGTTAAGAGCGTGGCAGCTGGCACATTTTCCTTCCCCAGCAGGAGACTGAGGATTTCATGTTTTTTAACACAATCCACCAGCTGGGATCACGTCTCCTGGTAAGCAGTCAAATACAAAACTGCCAACCTCCCCCACAAAACACGCACACACACACACAAAAGCTTGAAGTTCAACCATGTAGCAAGCACATTCTTAAGAGTGCTCTAAAACCAAGTAAACCAGTGTTCCTTTTTTTACCAATAGCCTCAAGTCCTTCACTGGAAAGAAAAGATATGGCTCGACCATCAAGCAAGAATCCTTCGACCTGGACCGTTGATGATGTGATATGGTTTGTGAAGGATGCAGACCCACACGCGTTAGGTCCACATGTGGAGCTTTTCAGAAAACATGTACGTAGGATGTTGGCCATGAAGTACCTGAGATATTTCAACTAAGTCCATTGATCCTTGACTTCACCAAGTGAGATCTTGCAAGGCAATGAACATCCTCAACTCCCACTGGCTGCCAGTGGGAACTGTTTTGTACTCAGAAGCTTGTACAATAAGCACCTTCAAAGGGGCTCAGAGTAGTTTTGTGTTTTCTGGAGACCTTGGGCAGGCTTGTAAGATCCTTATTACCTCCTGATCGAACACTCGCTACTTCTAACCCTGTCAGTTCAAAATGTTTTTCTTTTAAGCTTCACATAGCCAAGAATTGCCAAAGCAAAGTACCTAATACTTATTTCTACTGTTAAAGTGGTGTCAGAAGTCTTGCTATACTTAAGAACTGGGCCCAAAAGTAATATCTGTGATTCTACTCTAAATTTAAGAGAATTTTATATGGCCTCCAAATATCTAGGCAGGAAAAGCCCAAATCAGGTCAGTACCTCACTTATTCCACAATGTTATGTATCTAACAGATGCTAAGTCTTCTTCTCACTCACTCAAGATGATGGCAGTCTTCTGTAGCATAAATAACTTAAGAGTGTGGGCACCTATATTCACATAAGCATAGTCTTTCTTTACACTACTGTAAATGTGGAGTAGACACTAGGGCTGTGCAAAGCTTTGGTCCCTGATTCAATTCGGCAGAGATTCGGCCTGATGCAGTGGCCGAATCTCTGAATCCAAATTGAATCAGGAGACCGTTTAATCTCTCTGAATCGAATCGGAACCCTCCGAATCAATTCAGAGAGGTTCGGAAAGATTCGGCGATTCGGACATAGACACAGCTTTAAATGTTTTTCTGCATACCTCTAGGTAGCTGGTGGCTCGTGAATGCCGTGATGCTGGGGCACATGGAGTGTCCCACAGAAGCACGGCAGGCTCCTCAGCACAGTTGGCAGCAGACCCGGAAGTGGAGCAGAAGCACTTCCGGTACACTTCCGAGTCTGCCAGAGAGCACACAGAAGGGCCCCCCCATTACCCCCTGGCTCAGCGATTGGTGCCTCCTGGGTCTGGGGGGGAACCCAGTGTCCCCCTGTGGCCGGTTGCTGAGCCGGGGGACATGGGGGGGCCTCCTGTGCACTCCCTGATAGACCCAGCCCCCCCCCCCACTCCTGTGGGACACTCCATCCACCCCAGCATCACAGTGTTCACAAGCCGTGCTGGTACCTCAGGGTATGTAGAAAAATATTTAAAGCTGTGTCTATGTCCAAATCACTGATTCTCCAAATCAGTATTGAATCTTCAGATTCGGATTCAGCTGAATCAAATTGGGAACAGTGATCCAAATCAACGAATTGAATCACTGCCTTTGATTCAGGCCGATTCCAAATCCAAATCGAATAGGGCCCATTTCACACACCCAAGTAGATACACAACCCTACACTGGTATAAGCTACTCAACTCTGGGGTAAAGTTACGCTTTAGAAAATCAGAAGCAACTATGCAGTGATGTAAGCTACACAGGTGTATGGGCTGTTTATCCACAGTTCTATTGAATTTTATTCCCAGTTAGCCATTTGCCCAATGAAATGAATCTATTACTAGCTTTCATGCCAACCATTGATGAGGTACTATAATAGTCCATATTTTGGGCAGCTCTCTCAGAAAGGCGGATTGTCTGTTCTATAATTTATAATTTAAAATGGTAAGACCAAGTTACATCAACATTACTGTTTTGTACGTTCACACTCTTACCCCTCTAGCAACCTGATTTCTGAAGGAAAAATAAATGGTAAACGTATGTCTGATAATGTGTTTTTCTCTTGTATTAGATAGTGATGGCCAGCCACACGCCCAAGAGTGTGATCCTTTTGCCCACTTCAGCTTGATCAAATCTGTCCCCTACCGTAACTCCCCTTAAAGTCAGAGGCCAGAGATTAACATGTAGGAATCATAAATAAGATCTAAATTAGAAGTGTACCAATCAGATCAGCACTGATGTAAAGAAAATTGACTGTATTGGAAATCGGCTGTTTTTGCTTGATGCGGCCAATAATGTGGCCGATAAATGCCCCGTGCATGTGTGCAGCTGCGGCACACGTGGGGCCAGGAGCACAGCCTGGTAGCTTGGAAAGCTACCCCTGGACAAGCTGTGGCTCTGTCCCACACCCACCCCTCCCCACCCCAGCTGGACAGGACCTGCCCCCGCCCCAACCCCCCCCCCCCCCCCCTCCCCCGGGACCCCGA